AGAACAGCCAGTGTTCTTAACCGCTGAGCCATCTCTCCAGCCCCTTATTTTTATTTTTTTCAAATCCCACAGTTATTAGCCAGATGTGATGGTGCCTTCACCTTATAGTTTGAGAAAGGGACTCTGACTGAACCAGGAGCTCACTGACTAGACTCGCTGGTCAGCAAGCCCCTGGGGTCCTCCTGACTCAGCCACCCCAGTGCTGGGGTTACAGGTACCCACCACTGACTGTAGCTTTTCACTTGGGTGTTGGGGATCCTGAGTCAGGTGCTTAAGTTTTCCGAAGTAAATAGTTTAATGACTGAGCCACCTTCCTGGCCCCACCTCCTGACACAAGCCTGTACCCACCTAGCCATCTCACTGGCCCTATATGTTTTTGTTTTGTTTTGAGATAGGATCTCACTGTATAGCCCTGGCTGACCTGGGACTAGCTATATAGGCCAGGCTGGCCTTGATTTCACAGAGATCCACCTACCTATGTCTTCCAAGTGCTGGGATTAAAGGCATGCCTGGCAGGCTCTATAAGGTTTTTTGTTTTGTTTGTTTTCGTTTTGAGACAGGGTCCCCCAGTAGCCCCATCAGGCCTGGAACTTGCTGTGTAGACCAAGCTGGCCTGGATTACACAGAGATCCACCTGTGTCTGCTGAGTGCTGGGACTAAAGGCCTGGACCACCACTCAGGGCCTTCCCTATACATTTTTAAACTGTAAGGCTTCTCAAAGCTACAGTTGCATATTGTATGGTGAGTCGGCCAGTGGAATACCATGATAGCTGTTTTTCAACCAAGATACTGACACTGGGCCAGAGGCCAAGACAGAGATATGCAGAGACAAAGAAAATGATGGGGCCAGAAGAAGAAATTGAAAGAGGAGAAACAGAAAAATGGGGACAGAGATAGAGAAATTTTTAAAAAGAGTTGTAAGATGACTCAGTACATAAAGTCGCTTGCTGCCGAGTCTGATGACCTGAGTTCGACCCCATGGGACCCACATGGTGAAAGGAGAGAACCAACTACTGAAAATTGTCCTCTGACCTTCACATGTACACCACGGAGCAGACATACACACAGCACTAAATTTTAAAAAAAAAAAAAATAAGAGAAAGAAAAAGAGATGGAGAGGCAGAGACGGAATGGAAGGAGAGAAGGCGACACATGGAACGGAGAGAATCAGGGATAGAGAGAAAGCTCGGGGTCAGAGAGGAGCCAGGAGAGGCTTAGGGGCGCACAGAGGGACCGGGCCGGGGTGGCACGGCTGGGTAGGGCGCAGACAAAGGTTGGGCCCATGCCGGATGGGGTGGCCGGCCGGGACAAAGGCTTGGCCTGGGGGGCGGGGGCAGCGATGGCGCCAGCCGCGGAGGGCGCGGGCGAACTACAAGTCCCAGCAGCTCCCGCTGCGGCCCTCGGCCGGCCCCTCTCGCTCCCCGGGAGCGCCTGGCGGGGCCGCTGGGCCGAGGGGGCCGCCGGCGGGGCTAGCGGGCAGTGGGGTTTCCTGCAAGCCGGGGGCGGGGAGACGCTGGCGGCCCCGCGTGGTGCTGCAGGGCCGGGCAGGGGCGAGGGGCATCGGGGGCATCCGGTGAGTGTCCCCCACCGCGAATCGGGCCGGATTGGGGAAGGTTGGGCAAAGCGGGGAGGTGGCTGGGAGGGGGAGGCCCCCCAAAAGAGCAGGGTGCGGCGTGCGGCCCCTGGGCGACCTCTGTGTACCCCTGCCACAGTGCACTATGCCAGCACCCGGGCTGGGGCGCTGTGGTGGCGGTGGGAGGGGGTTCTGGGGAGTTCAGGCCTAGCGGGCTCATCCCGCCACCACTGGGGACCCCCACCCCCACCCCCCACGCCGGAGGCTGTGATTGAGAGGGGTGGAGGTGTCCCGGAATTTTGGAGTCTGCAGCTCAGGAAGCCTCGGTTTTTCTGGAGGCGATCCCAAAGGCCCCCTTTATTTTTGGAAGCCAAGAGAAACTTGGGGGTATTGTCTTTCCCACCTGCAGCTAGGGCTGTGTGGCTCTTTTCTCCTTAGTGCGCGTGCGTACGAGAGAGAGAGAGAGAGAGAGAGAGAGAGAGAGAGAGAGAGAGTAGTGTTGCCTCCAGCCCCCCCCCAAAAAACCCCAGCTATTGTTATTCCACCTCCCCAGTCTTGGGACGTAGAGTTCTGGGGGCTCCTTTTTCCAAGAGGTGATTCAAGGCTGCACTTGCCCCCTCCCCAGGACCTCATCTAAGAGATGGGAGTTTCCATCTAAGAGATGGGAGTTTAGCAATCTGAAAGTCCCTTTTCTCCCGGAAACGAGGAGGGAACCCAGGGTATTACCCACCCTCATCTTCCAACTATGGAGTCTGGGTTGAGGAGCTAGTGGGGGGAAGAAACTCAGCCCCTCTTTGCTTATTGCCTTCCAGCTGCTCAGTAGATCCCTCTAATTCCCAGGAACCCAGTGGAATAGGGAGTTCCCCTTTCTATCAGGACCCCTCCCCTCAAGATAGAGCTCTGTATTGCTCTACTTGTCCACCCCCCAGCAATGGGTCTTTCCCTGGGGAGGGAACACACATGTACAGTCTCTATACCTCACTCATGGAATCTCCCCTTCCCAGGAGAATACCTCTCTTCACTCTCCCACCCTCCAGAGTTTTCTGATGACCCAACAGGGTCCTAACTATTATTTGTGCCTGCTCTTCACCAAAGGGTTAAAGTTCACAATCTTCTAGCCAATTGAGAATATATATATATAATTTCTCACAGATCTACCTGCCTCTGCTTCCTGAGTGGCGGGCTTGAAAGTAAAGGCATGTCCCACCAACCCTGACTGAGAAAAACACATTAACCACTATCCTCACCCTTTTGGCTTCAGAATCCTTAGCTCTCTCCTTGTACCCCCTTTCCCAAGAGAAGGCTTGTATATGCACCCCTTCTTGTTTTTTAGAAACAGGGTGTTATTTTGTAGCTCAGGCTGGCTTTTAACTCTACGTCTCCAATCTCAGTCTCACAAGTGCTGGGTTACAGGTATGCACCACCTTACCCTTTGTTTTTGTTATTATTTTTGAGACAGGGTCTCCATGTAGCCCCTGCTGGCCTGGAACTCACTATGTAGACCAGGTTAGCTTTGAACTCACAGAGATCCACCTGCCTCTGCCTCCTGAGTGCTGGGATTAAAGGCATGCACCACCGCACCTGGCCTTCCCAGCTCTTTAAAAAAATATATTTTATTATCTTACGTGTATGAGTGTATTGTCTGCATGTATGTGAGTGCACCCATGTCGGGCAGTGCCTTAGAAGTCAGAAGAGGGCTTCGGATTCCCCTGGAACTGGAGTTAAGGATGGTTCATAGCTGCCATGTGGGTGCTGGGAATCAAACCCAGGTCTTCTGCAAGAGCAGTCAGTGCTCTTAACTGCTGAGCCATCTTTCCAGCCCCTTTTTTGGTCTCTTTGAGGAAGGGTCTCCCTGCAGCCCCAACTGGCCTGGAACTCACTATGTAGACCAGGCTGGCCTCAAACTCACAGAGATCCACCTGCCTCTGCCTCCCAAGTGCTGGGACTAAAGGTGTGCGCCACCACGCCCAGCACCAGCAATTTTTAAAAAAAGGTTTTTTACATTGGTTTTAATTATGTGTGGTGGTGGGGGGTGGGACATGCACATGTGTGTGTAGGTACCTGAGGAAGGTAGAGGAGGAAGTCAGATCCTCTGGAACTGAAGTTACAGGAGGTCGTGAGCCACCCAAAGTGGGGGGTGTGTATACTGGGAACTGAACCCAGGTCCCCTAGAAGAGCAGCAAGTGCTCTTAACTGCTGAGCCATCACTCCAGCCCCCTTTTGCCTTTTAAAAAACTTTAAGATAGGGGCTGGAGCGATAGCTCAGTGGTTAGGAACAGAGCACTGACTGCTCTTGCAGAGGACCCGGGTTCAAGTCCCAGCACCCACATGGCGGCTATGAACCATCCTTAACTCCAGTTCCAGGGGAATCCAAAACCCTCTTCTGACCTCCGAGGCATTGCACAACACGGGTGTACTCACATACATGCAGGCAATACACTCGTGCACATAATATTAAAAAAAAAAACAAAACTTTAAGATAAAAGTTTCTTTTTATTTTTTCATACAATATCATTTTTTAGTTGAATTTTTGTGCCCCTTTTGCCTTTTTGAGACCAGATTTCACACTGTAGTTCAGGCTGGTCTGGAGCTCTCTATGTAGCCCAGACTAATCTTCAGTGTGGGATCCTTCTGCCTCAGACTGGGCATCAAGTGCTGGGATTACAGCCCTGGGCCACCATAGCCGCCTCAGGTTTTCTCCACCCTTGCTCTCTAGCTTAGGGAACAAATGTTGAAGATCTTCTGTCTGGGACAGAATATATCCCTCCACCAGCTGTGAGGTCTAGAATTCACTTATCTCCTTTGTGGGAGGCAACTGAGGGTCCCCCTGCCCTCAGTGACATAGAAGGGGTTTCACATGACATTAACTTTCCAACACTCCACCCCTGTGGGAATCAATCCATACAAGTTCCCCTCTCTACCAACCCCTGCCCCCCCCAAATCTGCCACCTCCCAAAGTAGGGCAAGATTTCAGACCACAAGATGGCTCAGCGGTTAAGAGCACTAGCTGCTCTTGCAGAGGACCTGGGTTCAGTTTCAAGGCCAAACATGGCTGCTAACAACCATCTGTAACTCCAGTTCCAGGGAATCTGACACCCTCTTCTGGCTTTTGGGCATTGCATGACATGGGTGCACTTACATACATGTAGGCAAAACACATACACATAAGATAAAAAGAAATTGAAAAATAACTCAGGCCAAGAATGGTGGCTTGGGAGGCAGAGGCAGAATCTGTGAGATTGAGGCCATTCTGGTCTACAGAGCAGAGAGAGAGAATAAATCTCAGACCATGAGAACAAAGAACCCTGACACCTTGTTTCCCAGGAGGGGATGTCAGACCCTAGAACTCCCTTTCACAGAGTCAGGGTTTCCCCACAAGAGCCCAGGTTGGGGCTAGAGAAGTAGCTGAGTTGGGACAGTGCTCACCTAGCATACAAGAAACCCTGGGTTCAGAGTTTAGCATCACATAAGTGGGATGTGGTAGAGCACACCTCCTGTAATTCCAGCACTCAGGAGGTTGGGGTAGGAGGAGGAGAAGACATTTAATATTCTTGATTTTGTATGTGAGTTCGAGGACAACCTGGGCTACATGAGACCTTGGCTCAAACAAAAGATCCTAGGATGGACTCTATCCCCATGCAGGCTTGGAGGTGAAAGAGGAGAGACTCCCAGCATGTTTCACTAGGGTTCCTCTAGCCTGAATCCTGGCTGGGCACCAGTGAGAACTCCCCTATGGTTAAAGGCAAGAACAAGGTCTGTATGTATTCAGGAGAGACCATCATTTTAGTTTTTAATTAAGCCAAGTTAGTGTCCAGTTCTAGGCCAGCTGGGGCTACAGGGAGACCCTGTCTCAGAAAAGATCCCCCCCCCCGAAAAACTTACATGTGTGAGTATTTTGCCCACATGTACATTAAGTGCACCCAGGCAGCTAATGCTGGGGAGGCCAGAAGACAGTGTCAAATCTGGAACTTGAGTTGCTGATGGTTGTTTACCACCATATGGGTGCTGGGAACTGAACCTGGGTCCTCTGCAAGAGTAGCTAGCTAGTGCTCTTAGCCACTGAACCATCTCTCCAGCTCACCCCCTTTTTTTTTTAAAGACAGGGCCTCACTATGTAGACCAGGCTAACCTTGAACTGAGAGATTAGCCTTCCGCTGCCTCCCCAGTGCTGGGATTGAAAGTATGCATCACCATGCCTGGCTTCAGGAGGGACTTGGGAGGTGGGGGGGGGGGGGGCGCAGGACCAGTCTTCCGTCCCCGAACCTCCCTCCACCCACATCCTGTGCCATCATTCTGCAGAGCCTATCTCAGAAGCTGCAAGCAGTTCTACTTCCGGGATGCGGCGCTCAGTCCTGGTTAGGAACCCAGGCCACAAAAGCCTGAGGCCGCTTTACAGAGAGCTTCATTCAGACTCTGAGGACCTGGACTCCGGTCTCAAAGATCGGCACCCGATTTCACCAGAACCAGAGCCGGAAGACCTCAACACAGTCTCAGGTGGTGTGGATCCCAGCTTTGAAGATCTGGACCCCAACGCAGACGAAGCTTCACAATCCATGTTGGGGAACCCAGACTCCGTTTCCCAAGATCTGGATTCCATGTCTTCAAGTTTTGACCTGGATCCAGATGTGATCGGCCCGGTACCCCTGGTTCTCGACCCAAACAACGACACCCCCAGCCCAGCTGCTCCAGATGTGGACTCCCTCCCCTCCAGTCTCACTGCCACCCCAGAAGTCTTGGCCACCAGCCCAGCGGTGCTCCCCGCCCCTGCCAGCCCACCTCGTCCCTTCTCCTGTCCTGATTGTGGGCGAGCCTTCCGTCGTAGCTCAGGGCTGAGCCAGCACCGTCGCACCCACAGTGGCGAGAAGCCCTATCGCTGCCCCGATTGCGGCAAATCGTTCAGCCACGGTGCCACCCTGGCCCAGCACCGTGGCATCCACACTGGGGCACGGCCCTACCAGTGCGCAGCCTGCGGCAAGGCCTTCGGCTGGCGGTCCACACTGCTCAAGCATCGCAGCAGCCACAGCGGAGAAAAGCCACATCACTGCCCAGTGTGTGGCAAGGCTTTTGGTCATGGCTCACTGCTGGCTCAACACCTGCGCACGCACGGTGGCCCTCGTCCCCACAAGTGCCCCGTGTGTGCCAAGGGCTTTGGGCAGGGCTCTGCGCTCCTGAAACACCTGCGCACCCATACGGGCGAGCGACCCTACCCGTGCCCACAGTGTGGCAAGGCCTTTGGGCAGAGCTCCGCGTTGCTCCAACATCAACGCACCCACACCGCAGAGCGTCCCTACCGCTGTCCTCACTGTGGCAAGGCCTTTGGGCAGAGCTCCAATTTGCAACACCATCTCCGCATCCACACTGGAGAGAGGCCCTACGCCTGCCCACACTGCTCCAAGGCCTTCGGGCAGAGCTCAGCCCTGTTACAACACCTCCACGTTCATTCCGGGGAGCGCCCCTACCGTTGCCAGCTCTGCGGCAAGGCCTTTGGCCAAGCATCCAGCCTCACTAAGCATAAGCGAGTGCATGAGGGGGCCGCAGCCGCAGCCGCAGCAGCAGCAGCAGCAGCAGCCGCAGCAGCTGGATTGGGCCTCGGGCCTGGCTTGAGCCCAGTATCTCTGATGAGGTCTGGGCAAGTCTCCTTCCTGGGTCCGGATGCTGTGTCTGTGTTGGAATCAAGCCTGGGCCTCAGCTCTGGTACCAACTCTGCCCAAAGTTTTGAGGCTGGCTCGGTGCTGGGTTCACTCCCCAATCCCAGGCCCCAAACTCTCTCCGGCTCAGAATCTATCCTCAGCCCTGATCTTGTTCGGTCTTCTGACCCTAAGCCTGGTCGAGATGCTGACCCTGATGTGGTACCCAGTCCTAACCCTGATCTTGTCCCCAGCCCTGACCCCAACCCCAAGTCCCAAAATGACCCCTGCTCTCCCACCCATGACAGTCCCAGGCCAGCCCTTCCTACTGGAGACAGTCCAAAGTGGGTAAAGGAGGAGGGGGCTTTGCTAGGGCCTGATGGCTAAAGGGAGTACCGGCATCCATGGTGGTCTGGGGAAGGTGTGTGTTGTTCAATTAGTAAAAATATTCCCACTGCCTTCTGGCTCAGTGTTGTGGTTTGCTTTTTGCGCTTTCTCCCTACGGAAATGGAGGGTGGGGCCAGGGCAGCTAGGTCTCTGGAGCCACACCCACTGGGCTTCCTAGCTTCCCACACCAGGCCTCACAAGGTCTAGCCTACCCATCACTTCTCTGCATTCCTAGGTCTGGTGACTGACCAGGAGACTCAACCTCTGTGAGCATCTTCCTCTGCCTTTTCCTCGCGACAAGCCATTTGATCCTTGAGCTAGCCCCTTGCCCTTAAGCCACTCAATAGCTATACTACTGATGAACAAAGGTTGTGTATCCATGTCACACATTTAGGGGTGTTTTACAAACACTTGTTAGATTGGGTGTAGTGGTACAGGCCTGTAATCCCAGCACTCTGGAGGCGGAGGCAGGATGTTTGAGAGTTCAAGGCCAATCTGGGCTACATAGAAGCTGTCACAAAAAAGCAAGACAAACATTTGATTATTTATTGATTTTTTTTTTTTGCCTTTTTGAGACAGAGTCAGAGCCACAGCTAGCTGGAACTCGCTATGTAGGCCAGGCTGGCTTCTATCTCACAGAGATCTGCCTGCCTCTGCATCACGAGTGCTGGGATTAAAGGTATGCACCACCATGCCTTGCTATTTATTGTTTTGTTTTTTAAACTTTATTTTTATTTTATGTGTATGACTGTTGTAAGTGAACCTGTGTCATGCAATGCCACAGAGGCAGAAGAGGGCATCGGATCCCCTAGATCTCGAATATGAATGGTTGTTAGCCGCCATGGGGGTGCTGGTTTTCGAACCCTAGTCTTCTGCAAGAGCACCCAGTGCTCTTAATTGCTGAACCATCTCTCCAGCCCCTATTGATTTATTTTATGTGTATGAGTTTTTTTTTCCCCTGCATGTACGGAAGTGTAGCACGTCCTGCAATATCCTTGATGAAAGGAGAGAACCAACTCCTGAAAGTCATCCTCTGACCTCCATGTGTATGCTCTGGCATATACACCCCCACATAAAATATAAATTTTGTTTTTTGAGACAGACTCTCACTTTGTAGCCCTGGCTGGACTGGAACTCCTGTGTACTCCAGGCTGGTCTTGAGCTCACAGAGATCTGCCTGCCTCTGCTCCTGAGGCAAGAGCTTGGATCCCTGGAGCTGGAGACAGACAGTTGTTAGCTGCCATGTGGGTGCTGGGAATAGAATCTGGGTCCTCTGCAAGAGCAACCAGTTCTCATAACCACTTGGCCATCTCTCCACCCCAATATATATGTATATATATATAAATTTTTTTTTGGTCTTTTTAGGACAGAGTCTCCTTGTAGCTACAGCTGGCCTAGATTCACTGTTGTAAATCAAGCTGGTCTTGATCTCACAGAGATCTACCTGTCTCTGCCTCTGAAGTATTGGGATGATATTTTTAATTTTTTTAATTATATTTTTATTGTTTTGTCTTTTTGAGACAGGGTCTCCCTGTAGTCCCAGCTGGCCTGGAACTCACTATGTAGACCAGGCTGGCCTTGATCTCTGTGAATTTCCAGTTTGAAACTCTGTCTCAAGAAACAAACAAAAATTATATTTTATTTATTTCGTATGGGGATGTGCATGCGCAAGCATACATGTGCGATCAGAGGATAACTTTCAAGAGTTGGAAACCACAAGGGTTCTGGGGATCGAACTCAGGTCATCAAGGTTGGCAGCAGGTGCCCTTTACTGGTTGAGTCATCTTGCCAGCCCTGGTTTTAAAATTTTATTTTATGTGTATGAATGTTTTGTGTGAATGTATGTTTATGCACCGCATGCATTCCTGGTGCCTGTGGCAGCCAGAAGAGGGTGTAGTATCCCTGGTATTCGAGTTCAGATGGTTGGTTGTGGTCTAACATATGGGCAGGTGCTGGGAACTGAACCCGGGTTCTCTGCAAGAATGGTAAGTGCTCTTAACCACTGAGTCATCTCTTCACCCTTTTATTTATATCGTTCAGATAGGGTTTCACTTTGTAACCAGGCTGGTATGTAGCTTACTACGTAGTCCAGGCTGGCCTCAAACTCATGGCAGTCCTCATGCCTCAGCTTTCTGAGTGCTGACATTACAGATATAAGCCACTGTATCCTGCTAAAAATCTATTCATCATTGGGAGCTCAGCAGTGAGCAAGACCAGCCCAGCTTAAACACTTCAAATTTAGAAATATTTTTAAAACTAATTACAGAGGATAGAACATTCTGAAAGCATAGCAAGATTTTTGATTTAGAGAAAAGATTTTTGATTTGTTTGGGGACAGGATCTCACTGCATCGCCCTAGTTGATCTCAAAATTCATTTTATAGCCAGCCTTGGTGATGCACTCCTTTAATCCCAGTACTTGGGAAGCAGAGGCAGGTGGATCTCTGTGACTTCTATATAGCAGGTTCCAGGCTAGCCAGTGATACAGGGAGACCCTGTCTCAACAAACAAACAACAAACAAACAAACAAAAAGCTATCTTCTACGTGGGCCAATGTGCCTTGCTTCTTTTCTCTTGTGTATCTGTATATGTGTGTGTAGTGTATGCATGTGTGGTTGTGAGTACACATGACTGTGTGTGTAAGCATATGGAGGCAGGAGATGGATGTCGGTGTCTTCCTCGATTGGTCTTCACAGGCAGGTAATGCTAAATGATTGCCATTTTGCAGGTGAGGAGGAATATAAATAAAAATAATAAAGAGACGAAGCACACAAAGTTTATGGCACTCTGGAAAATGTGGAAATTATGGTTAGTGGTGCTTAGATTTAAACCTGAATTGCCTGTCCTACAGAACCTGTATTTTTTTAATTTATTATTTTTATTTTATGTGTATGACTGTATTGCCTACATGTTTGTAAGTGCACCCATATCATGCAATAAAACTCTCAGAGATCAGAAGATGGTGTTGGATCCCCTGGAACTGGAGTTACAAACAGTTGTTAGCTACCATGTGGGTGCTGGGAACTGAACCTGGGTTTTCTGCAAGAGCAGTCAGTGCTCTTAACAGCTGAGCCAGCTCTCCAGCCCCCAGAGCCTGAGTTTTTTGTTTTTGTTTTTGAGAAAAGATATCGTTATGTAACTCTGACTGGCCAGGAACACTCGATATAGACCAGGCTGGCCTCCAACTCAGAGATCCACCTACCCCCACCTCCTGAGTGCTGGCATTAAAGGCATGCTCTACTGTGCCTAGCCTGAAACCTGTGTTCTTAACTGTCATGTTCCTCTGTAAGAGTGTGCAAAGGCCCTGGGGTCACAGAGAAATGAAGCGTAGGAGGAGATAAGGACTACACCAGTGGTAAATCTACATGGGAGGTTTTCTTGTCATTGCAGAGCCATGAAAAGCCACTAGGAGGTTCAGGAAGACAGGAATTATGCGAAGGTCCTTCTGGCTTGTTGGAGGTAGAGGAGAGCAGTAAAGCAAAGGATGAGCTAAGGTTCCAGAAGTCTACAAAGGCCGTGGTAAATGGTTCTATTTGGTTTATATTGTTTGTTGGTGGCCTGGCTGGGAAAGACAAAGTACTTCTGGGTGTAAGGTCAGCAGATCTAGCACAGGGTTAAAGGTCATCACAAGACACCCCGGACAGTAGGGGGTCAGGCTCTGGACATGGAAGTCACTAGGTTGGCACACAAAACAGGGCTGGACAGGGAGCCAGGTCAGAACCAGTTCCTGCACAAACTAAGGCCTGGTCCATTTCCTAAGCCTTGTATTAGTGTAGGTCGGCGCTAGAAGGCCGCCTTTGGCCCACCAGCCTCTGGCTGCGAAGAGAGCGTGTGCTTGCAGCCCCCGAGCCTGGAGTGGGGCCCGGGAAAACGCATGCGCATTTGTTTCCCCAAGGCGCTGGCTGGGGAACGCTTGCGTATTGCTGGGGGTGGGGCTGCAATGGCGCAGTGGGCGGGCTCAGAACTAGTCACGTGATCAGTCCGGCCACCCGGCTCACGTGACCGCGGCGCAGGTCAGCTGATGCGGGAGGGTTTGAAGCGGCGCCGGGAGGGAGCGAGGCCACGGTGACAGCGGCGGGCTGTCGACCCAGGCTGCCCGCCCGCATCCCACGCTCGCTGTACGCCCATGGCCTCCGCGGCGGGCCCGCGCGGCTCAGGTGAGCGCGGGGGCGGGAGGACATGATGGCGAGCTTCCCAGTCCTCGGGTCCACTGCGGACTAGTCTCCTGCCCCGTGGGGGACAGACAGATGGGCATACTGTTACCAGAACGTGGGTGGCGGGTGGGCACTGGCATCTCTGACCTCAGACGGAGAGCCTGCACAGCCCCTAGAACCCATCAGCATCTCCAGCCTCAGGCGGAGAGAGAGCCTGCATGGTTCTTCGAACCTGGGCGGCGGGTGGACACTAGCATCGCTGACCTCAGGCGGAGAGCCTGCAGATTTACTGAACCTAGGCGGCGGGTGAACACCAGCATCTCCAACTTCTGGTGGAGAGTCTGCATAGTTCCTAGAACCCGGAGCGCGTGTGGACATACCAGCATCTCCGACCTCAGGTGGAGAGCCTGCATAGTTCTAGAATCTGGGCGGCTTGTGGACACCAACCAGCACGTCTGACCTCAGGAGGGAGCTTGTATAGTTCCTAAAACCTGGGCAGCTGGTGGGCATCAGCATCTGACCTCAGTCGGAAAGCTTGCATGTAAGGTGGCTTGTTGACATTAGCACCTCCGACCTCAGGCAGAGAATTTACACAGTCCTTAGAATGCACCAGCATCTTTGACCTCAGGTGGAGAGCTTACATAGTTCCCAGAACGTGGGTGGCAGGTGAGCACCAGCCTCTCAGCTACTTCCTGGGAGAGAGAGAGGCAGAACCTGGGCAGTGGGTGGTCACCAGCTTTTCCCATCTCTGGCCAGAGAGCTCTCCTTTTTGCCCTTAGTGGAGAATAGTATAGACAGTACCTTGAACCTGGGCAGGGGTGGTCCTAAGCTTTTCTGAGCTCAGAGGGTAGGAGCCTTGATAACCTGCAATAACCCTGCCTCCACCTCTCCTGTGCTGGGATTACAGACATGTGTCACCATGGATGGATTTACTGTTGGTACTTACACCTCTTTCCAGCCTGACCTGTGAGAGTCATCTCAAACCCAAACTGGGCTCAGAGTTTATAAATGCAGGCAGCAGGTAGGCTGCCCAGCTTGGCTTATTAGTACAATATTTGGAACCCAAGTTTGTTTTTTTTTAAATTTCAGTGCACAGTTGGTTGAATCCAGGGATGTGAAACTCATGGAAATGGAGGGCTAACTGTGTTATTCAGTTTTTTTTTTTTTTTTTTTTTTTTTTGGTTGGTTTTGTTTTGTTTGAATTAGGATCTTACTCTGTAGCTCATAGTGAACTTAAACTTGTGATCCTCTTGCCTCAGCCTCTGAGTGCTGGGATTATAGGCATGCAGACTCTTAAGAAACTTGCTGCTTCTCTTCATCTTTCTCCTCCTCCTCCTTTTTTTCTCCTTCCTGGATTGAACCTAGGGCCTTGTGCTTGCCAGGCTAGCACTGTACCACGAACTATGTTCCCCAGCTCCAACCAAAGTTCTGATTGCTCAATTTTGCTGGAACTCAAACAGTAGTCCACACTGAGACCCCAGGATTCTCTCTGGCAGCCAGAATGTAAACACATAGTCCGCTTCCTTAAACTCATGCAGGCAGGGAGTTGGAACTTCCTTAAACCCAGGCAGGCAGGATGTTGGGGTAATGCCCTGCTTGACTCTAGAAGGCTAGCTCAATTACAACTCTCTAAGACTTTCCAGATTGAATTGTATGCATCTAGCTTCCAGGCCCTTTTGAGGGTCACATTTCCCTGAGGAATTTACCTTGTTTTGATCCCCCATATGAGACGGCTAGAGGCACCCCCATAAATGTCCTGGCTGGTAGGGTCTGGAATGGCTTAGCTGTGATCCTAGCTATGGACTTATAGCCTGCCTTTGTCTTCCTCCCCAGTGGCTTGTAAACAAGCACATCTAGTCTACAAAGGGAGGGGCCAGGAGTTTGACTCCCTGAAACCACAGGTTCAGACAGTGCCCAGCCTAATCCTGGCAGCTTTAGGGCTGGGGTTATGACTCAACCATAGAATGCTTCATAGCATGTGCAAAGCCCTGAGTTCCATCCCCAGCTCAAAAATAAAATAATCTAAACAGCTTCGTCAGGCAGAGGGTAAAAGCCAGGTGTGGTGGTACACAACTGTAACTCCAGCGCTTCAGAGCTAGGAGGATCAGGAATTCATGGTTAGCCTTGGCTGCTTTCTGAATTTTAGGCTAACCTGGGGTACATCTGTTCCAAACAAACACACAAACAAACAAAAAAGACGTGAAAGGTTTCCAGTGGAGATGATGGGGGTTTGTCAGTGGCACTTCTATGCTATCAGGTACCAGGACTAACTGCCTCAGATCTTGTTCTTGGACTCAAGGAAAGCAAGCAATGCTGGCCAGGTGTGGTAGAGCATGCCTCTAATCCTGGCAGTCAGGAGGCAGAGGCAGACAGATCTGAGTTTGAGGCCTTCAACTCCCAAGTATTTGGGTTACAGACATGAGCCCCCGTGCCCCTCAGCTTAGCTTTTTTTTTCAGAAAAGTGACTGGCATCTTTTCCAGGTGGGCTGCCTGGCTTCCCAGAGCACTTCAGGATCTCAGCCTTGGGGATGGCTTTCATTCCTACTAGCCAGAACAGTTGCTGAGGGAGGCAGACCAAGTCTGGCATTCAGCCTTTGGGCTGTGTGATTCCCAGAACTCAGTTCCCTTAAAGGTGATGAAGTGAGTTGTCTATAGATGTCTTAGGCTATGTAACTATTTGTTTTTTGTTTTTTTAAAAACTGTTTATTTAGTGGAGTGGAGAGGGGGCTGTACCACTGTGCAAGTATGAGAGTCCGAGAACAACTTGCAGGACTCAGTTCTTTCCTTTCACCCTGTGGGTCCCAGGATTCTAACTTGGATTATCAGGCTTGGCAGCAAGCACCTTTACTCGATGAGCCATATTGCCTGCCAGCCACTGTTTCAGGGTTTTTGTTAGTCAGGGTCATGCTGGCCTGGGACTCACTAAGTAGTCCAAGCTGACTTTGAACTCATAATCATCTTGCCCCTACACTGGAGTGCTGGAATTACAGACATGAGTCATCATACCCACCTTCATTATTACTGTTGTCAGGCCTGTGGCCTGGGATGGGCTGGTTTCTGATGAGTTCGAAGGTTACCCGTGGGCAGTTTGTCCAAGGAATACTAGAATATGGGCCATGCTATGTGCTAATGACCTGTAGGCTGGAGTTGAGATAACCCTGGAGGGCTTGCATGTCCTCTGAGAAGTCAGCCCCACCCAAGCTGGTCCTTTTTCCCACCAACCCACCAGAGAAACATGAATGGACTGTCTCCCAAGTTAGCCTCAGTCCAGGCTCTTTGGTAAGGCTTTCTGAGCATTGAGTTCTATTTCCTTATGAGAGATGGTGGCTCCTCCAGTTTGGATGAGGCTAAGGCAAGAGAGGCTGCTGAGTGGGTACAGCTTTTTAGAGCTCCAGTTGCTAGCTGGGAACCTCTGAGTAGGCCTGGGCAGGAGATGTGTAATATTATAGAATTCCTAGGTTTTTGTTTAATTTTTTATCCATCTATCTAATGTGTTTGAGTGTTTTGCCTATATCTGTTAGTGCACTGGTATCATGCAATATCCATGGAGGTCAGAAGAGGGCATTGGATCCCCTGGAAGTAGAGTTACAGATAGTTGTTAGCTGCCATGTAGGTGTTAGGAACCAAACCTGGGTCCTCTGCAAAAGCAGCCAGTGTTTTAACCACTGATCCATCTCTCCAGACCCTTTTCTTTCTTTTTAGACAGGATCTCATTATGTAGACCTGGCTGGCCTCAAGAGCACTAGGTAGGCCAGGCTAGCCTTGACCTCACAGAGGTGTGCCTGCCTCTGCCTCTGAGCACTGGGATTAAAGGTGTGCACCCCCATGCCCAGCAAGGCCTGGCTTTTCTTATACATTCTTCCTTGCCTATAGACCAGGGCTATGAGGACCCGAGACAGCTTGCCGGAGGAGACAGAACATGATGCCCAGCCCTGATCCTCCACTATCCTATCCCATTTCCTTAGAGACGGAGCGACTGCTGACCCCCAACCCTGGGTATGGGACCCAGGTGGGGGCTCTGCCAGCTCCGCCAACCCCCCCAGAAGAGGAAGACCTCCGTCGGCGTCTCAAGTACTTCTTCATGAGCCCCTGTGACAAGTTCCGGGCCAAAGGCCGCAAGCCATGCAAGTTGATGCTGCAGGTTGTTAAGATCCTGGTGGTCACTGTGCAGGTGAGACCAGCTGGGCAGGTACTTTAGCCAAACGTCACTGGCTGCTGCTGTGAGCCTCAGAACAGCTCCTTGTAGCAGCAGAGTGACAGTGACAGTGTTGTTATCACGTGGCTGGAATCTGTAAGTCCTTGTAGGTTCCCAGAGGCCCTGGCCCTGCTGCTGCCTCCATTGTTTACCCAAGGTCCTAAAGCTTAGAGAGGTTAAGAGCCTTGTGTAGGACTGGAGAGATGGCTTAGTGGTTAAATGCACTGACTGCTCTCACAGAGGACCCAGATTCAGTTCTCAGCACTCATATGGTGGCTCAATTGTCAGTAACTCCAGTTCCAGGGACTCTGACACCATATATAAGACCCTATCTCAAAAAAACGTTCAGGTGTTCAGTGCCAGAGGGCCTGGCCCATCCCAGGGGACATCTCTGGAACTTCCTTTTTCTTCTCCCTCTACCTGTGCCCTGATAGGGGTGCTATACTATCAGTCCAACTTCCTATTCCATTTTGGCAGCTCATCCTCTTTGGGCTCAGCAACCAGCTGGTGGTGACATTCCGGGAAGAGAACACCGTTGCCTTCCGACACCTCTTCCTGCTGGGTTACTCTGATGGGGCTGATGATACCTTTGCGGCCTACACTCGGGAGCAGCTCTACCAGGCCATATTCTATGCTGTGGACCAGGTACCGTGAGCAGGTTGGGAGGGAATGTGCCGCATAAAGCTGATGGGGCTGACAGACCTTTTCCTCTGCCCACAGTACCTGATACTGCCCGAGGTATCCCTGGGCCGGTATGCCTACGTCCAGGGTGGGGGCGGCCCTTGGGCCAATGGCTCAGCACTGGCTCTGTGCCAGCAGTACTACCACCGTGGCCATGTGGACCCAGCCAACGACACCTTTGATATTGACCCAAGGGTGGTCACTGGTGAGTGGCCACGGGCAGAGCATAACTGTTGGGATCCTGGGTTGCTGGGATTAAAATCTTAGCCTGTGGGTTGGAGGTGTGGCTCAGTTATAAAAGTTCTGTCTAGAATACCCCAGTGAGGGGCCTGGGGGGTGTGGTTCCTGTATAGTAACAGCCAAGAATTCCCCATCGAGGGGCTAGGAATGGGGCTCAGTGGTAGAGTCCCTGCCTAGAATCCTCCAGTGAAGGACTTGGGGCCTGGCTTAGAGGTAGAGCCCCTGACTAGAATCTAATGCTCTTCACTATTGAGACAGCTCTCCAGCCCCAGGCATTATTTATGTGTGTGCGTGTATTGCCTGCATGTGTGTAAGTGCACCCATGTCATGCAATGCCTGCGGAGGTCAGAAGAGGCTGTCACATCCCCTGGGACTGGAGTTACAGACAGTTGTTAGCTGCCATGTGGGGGCTAGGATTCGAACCCAGGTCTTCTGTAAGAACAGCCAGTATTCTTAACCGCTGAGCCATCTCTCCAGCCCCCCAGACATTATTTTTTAATACTGTTTACTCACTCAACTTTTGGAGAGCCCATGGATCCCTAGGGCCTCTGTAGAGAATAAAATAGAGCAGGCCCTATTTGTTTGGAGACAACAAGTGGTTCATCATGAAGGGGGTGTAGCTCTGTGGTGGACTCTGGCCTAGCAGAGAAGGTTATGAAGCACAGAGTGGGATTCAAAACAGGGAGGAAGGCTTGCTGGGACTGTGGGCGACCAGCCTGGCCTTGCCTGCTCCCTGAGTCCCTTCCCTAACTGTGTCCTCAGACTGTATCCAGGTGGATCCCCCCGACAGACCCCCGGACTCCCCCAGTGAGGATCTTGCCCTCTTGGACAGCAGCTCCAGTTACAGAAACCTCACACTGAAATTCCACAAGTACTGCCCCTTTCACTTGAGGGCAGCCTGCTTGATGGAGGGGTGCAAGGGCGAGGCTGAGGGTGGCGTGACTGGAGGTGGGGGGCAAAGTACAGACACCTGGATATAAAGCCACGTCCCTGAGGTTGTTTGGGGTATGCGTGGGGGGTGGGCACAGCTACACTGACCTGGCCTGCAGCTGAGTGAGCTATCTGCACAGTCAGCACGGGCAGGGTTGCTGCTCCCCACAACCCCAGGCAGGGAGGGACTGTGTGGCCCTCATCCAAGCCTCCCCCACTAGGCTGATCAACGTCACCATCCACTTCCAGTTGAAGACCATCAACCTGCAGAGCCTCATCAACAATGAGATCCCAGACTGTTACACTTTCAGTGTCCTGGTGAGGAACCGGGGAACCCTCTGGACTCCTGAGTTCCCCCTGCCTGGTTGAGGGGCATCTAAGGAGCACTGGCCCAAGGTGGTGTGGGAGTGACAGGGTGCAGGCTGGGACAACCTGGACCATTTAATGTGTGGGTCTAGGGGGAGGAGTGTGACTCTTGGAGCTACCCAAACTTACCTTGCCCTGGACCCTTCAGATCACCTTTGACAATAAGGCGCACAGTGGACGTATCCCTATCCGATTGGAGACCCAAGCCCACATCCAGGAGTGTAAACACCCCAGTGTCTCCAGACGTGGTGAGCCCTCCCACCCTGAGGACTCCCCTCCCCTCCTCCCATCACCCCAAGAACAGCCCTGACTTGGGCAATACCTGGAACTCTGATAATACTGGCCAGGGGACCTTACCTTCCTGGCATGCCCGTGAGCCCCAGACCAGCATTGATCAGGTACCTTGATCTGACCAGAGGGTCTTCTGGGTCTCAGTCAAGTTCAATACAAGAAGCCATGCCTGGTGGTGTAGGCCTGTAATCCCAGCTACTAAGGAGATTGAGGGGGCAGGCTCACAAGTTCAAAGCTTACGTGGGGTACTAGGCTACAGAGTTGAGTTCAAGGTCTGTGTAAGCAACTTACGGAGTCTTTAAGACTTGTCTCAGTAACAAGAGGGCTGGGGATGCAGCCCAGTGGTAGAGCACCTTCCTAGCTTGTATGATGCCCTATATTTAATCCCTAGTACTGCAAAAAAAAAAGTGAAACACAAATTAGTTCTAATGTAATTCGAGTACTTGGAAGGCTGAGGCAAAATCAGGTGTTCAAGACCAGCCTTGGCTACATAGTAAGTTTGAGGCCAGCCTAGGATATATGAAACCTTGTCTTTGCAACAAAACAAAATGGGCTGGGGATATGTCACAGTGATAAAGAGTTTGCCTGGCTAGAGAGATGGCTCAGTAGTTAAGAACACTAGCTGGAGAGGAATTCCACTCTTGGAGAGGACTTGGATTCCATTCCCAGCTCACCCCATCTGTGATTCCAGCTCCAGGAGCCAACACCCTCTTCTGACCTCCTCAGGCATTGCATACAAGGGTGCACTTACGTACATGTGGGCAAAACATTCATACATGTAAAATTAAAGCTAAAAAAGCTTTACCTTGTGTGCTCAGTTTTAGTCCCTAGCACCACAAAAAATAAGGGGGTGCTGGTCTTCCCAGGGAGCCCCAAGTTTCATACCAAGGTTAATCAGAGACTCTGATATACTCTAAATGCCAGGGAACCCCTAAGCCCACTGATTGCTTCAAACCAGCTATGTATCCCCATACCCCCTAGGTCTCCAGCCCTGGCCTGAACCCCCAGCCCTGACCTTTGGGGCCTTGTTCTACTTTTGACCCTAGCCACCCCTCCCTGCAGGAGACAACAGCTTCCGGCTCCTGTTTGACGTGGTGGTCATCCTCACGTGCTCCCTGTCCTTCCTATTGTGTGCCCGCTCTCTGCTCCGTGGCTTCCTGCTACAGAATGTGAGGCCCTGGCATCACCTGTGCTGATGCCTGCCTTGCCCAGCCATGGGCTGTAGTGGAGAGGGTGGTAGTGGGGTAGCCAAGGGCACCAGGGGGTTCTGGACCAACCCTCACCTGGCCTCCTCCCACAGGAGTTTGTCATGTTCATGTGGCGGCGACGCGGTCGGGAGATCAGCCTTTGGGAACGGCTGGAGTTTGTCAATGGCTGGTACATCCTGCTAGTCACCAGTGACATACTTACTGTCTCGGGCACTGTCATGAAGATTGGTATCGAAGCCAAGGTGCGAGTCGCGCTCAGACCCTGCACTGGGGGTCCTGGGTCTGTCTCCAGGTCCTTGCCTGACTGGGGACCACCTTCCAGGAAATCTGGGGTTCAATGGCTTGTTTTTTTATTCCTGTCCACAGAATCTGGCCAGCTACGACGTCTGCAGTATCCTCCTGGGCACCTCAACATTGCTTGTCTGGGTTGGTGTCATCCGCTACCTGACTTTCTTCCACAAGTACAATGTGAGTCTCCCACACCTGAGCCCTGCCTGGGCAGTAGCCTGTCCATGCCCTCAAACCCAAACAAATAGAGCAGTCACTAATCCTTACTGATCACAAGCCTCATCCTTTTTTTAAAAATTAAAAAAAATTTTGAGTGTGTAAAAAATTTGCCTACATGTATGTAAATGCACACCTGTACATATATGGCCCACAGAGGTCAGAGGGCATCAGATCCCCTGAAACTGGAGTTAGAGGCAGTGGTTAGCCACTCTGAATCCTGGGAACTGAACCCTGGTCCTCTGCAAGAGCAGCCAGTGCTCTTAACTGTTGAGCCATCTCTTTTACGCCCCCCCCCCTTTTTTTAGACAAGGTCAAATTCAGTATGTAGTCAAAGTGATGCCTGATCCTGCCTCCAACTCCCAAGTGCTGGGATGAGAGTTGTATCCCACTATGCCTGGTTTTATGAGGTACTGAGGTTCAAATTCAAGGCCTTGTACATGTTAGCAGGCACTCTACCAACTGAACTGCATCCCCAGCCCACAAATTTCTCTCTCTTTAAAAAAAATTATTTTATGCCTAAGTGTTTTGCCTGCATGTATGTAAGTGCATCCATGCATGCAGTGCCTGTGGAGGCCAGAAGAGGGCATCAGATCCTCGAACTGGATTTAAGGACATTTGTGGACAGTTGTTAGTTGCCATGTGGGTGCTAGGAACTGAACCCGGATCCTCTGCAAGAGCAACCAGTGCTCGTAACTGCTGAGCCATCTATCTGGCCTCCACAAATCTCTTTCTTATACCCACCTACCACAGACACACGTGCCTTTGTACCAGGGCAGGACCCCGGAAACCTGTCCCTTCCTGCCTGTCCAGCTGAATCCAGCTGTGGTATGTCCTAGGTTTACCCCAGGATGGCCCTGCCCCATCTGAGTTCTCAGCAGCCTTTCTAGTCATACCATTGAGGGCCTTCCTGCTGTCTGAGGGCTAATCAGACTAGCTGTATACTCACCTGATCTTCCTGCACCTCTGCAGATTCTCATCGCAACGTTGCGGGTTGCACTGCCCAGTGTCATGCGTTTCTGCTGCTGTGTGGCTGTCATCTACTTGGGTTACTGTTTCTGTGGCTGGATTGTACTGGGGCCCTACCATGTGAAGGTATGAGGTACTGGGGGCTACTGATATTTGTGAGCTGTTAAAAGGAGTCCCTGAGCTCCGGCCTCTCATTTGTTGACCTGATGACCTTAAATGACCACCTTGATCCCTGGTACCTGCACACTTGTAACAGTTTTAATTTTTTTCCTGTGCGTGCATGCGTGTGTGTGTGTGTTGCACACTTGTAACAGTTTTAATTTTTTTTCCTGTGTGTGCATGTGTGTGTGTTGCATACTTGTAACAGTTTTAATTTTTTCCTGCATGTGTGTGTGTGTGTGTGTGTTGTTGTTGTTGTTGTGTGTGAGTACATGTGCACCTGTGTTCACATGCATATGGTAGCTAGAGGTTGTTCCTCTATCTAAAGCTACCTACCTTAGGCCAGGTGTGGTGGCAGCCTGGTCTACATATCGAGTTCTTGGCCAGCTGGGGCTACAGGCAGACTCTATCTCAAAAACAAACTAAAAAACAAAAAACAAAGCTGGAGAGATGGCTCAGGGGTTAGAGCACTGGCTGCTCTTGCAGAGGACCCAGGTTCAGTGCCCAGCACCCTCATGGCAGCTAACAACTGTCTGTAACTCCAATCCCAGGGGATCTGACACTCTTCTGGCCTCTGTAGGGTCACATACACTTGGTACACTTATATAAATGCAGGCAAAACACTCATACGTATAAAATAAATAAATTAAGGAGTTAAAAACAATGAAAGCCATCCACCTTGGTTTTTTGTCATCGTTGTTTGTTTTTTGGAGGCAGGGTCTCATTGGCCTACTGATTGGACTAGGCTAGCTGGCCACTGAACTCCAGGGGTCTGTCTTCCTGTTTCTACCTCCCACCATACCCCACTTTTTTTTTTTTTTTTTTTTTTTTTTGTTTTTTTGAGACAGGGTCTCCCTGTAGCCCCAGCTGTTCTGGACTCACTGTGTAGACTAGGCTGGCCTTGAACTCACAGAGATCTGCCTGCCTCTGCCTCCCAAGTGCTGGGACTACAGGTGTGCACCACCATGCCCGGCCATACCCGACTTTTTAATGTAGATGCTGGGGCTAGGGATCAAACTTGGGTCCTTAAGCTTGCTAAACAGGCTCTTCACCAACCCAGCCACCTCCCCAGCCCTTGTAGCAGTTTTGTATTCTGTTCCCTCTGACCCCCAATGGTCTTGGCATTGACCCTGTCATTTGGTCATCTGCTTGATCACTAATGACCCTGGCTTAACCTGGGTTACTTTACCTATCAGCTCCTCTGGCTCTTGAGGAATCTATGCAGTACCGTGTCTATTTTATGTGGCACTGGGAATTGAACTTGGAGCCTTGTGTGTTGGTGGGGTGAGCTCTCTCCCAACTGAGCTACCTCCCAGCCGACAAGCCTCTTTGTTGTATCTACCTACTGTAGACACATGCATCCTTTTTAGTTTTAAAAATGTTATATATGTCTGGATGAACTGTGACCCAGGACATGTAAGCTAAATAAACCCTTTCCTCCAAAAAAAAAAAAAAAAAAAAGTTATATATATGAGTGTTTTGCCTGCATGTATATAAGTGCATCATGTACATGCAGTGCCCACAGAAGCCAGAAGAGGGTCTTAGATCCCCTGGAACTGGACTTATGGATGGTTGTTAGCTACCATGTGGGTGCTGGGAACCAAACCTGGGTCCTCTGCAAGAGCAGCCAGTGCTCTTAACTGCTGAGCCATCTCTCCAGCCCCAACACATACATCTTTGTACTTGTCCCCTCCTATCCATCTAGCCGAGTCCATTAACCCTGTGACCCTGCCATTGCTACACTGACCCTCAGATGAGCCCATTGTGACTGCCAGTCACCTGCCCACTGACCCCTGGTGAGCCTAGCACCCCTGCCATGCCCATGCTCTTACACCACTGCCCTGCCTACAGTTCCGCTCACTGTCCATGGTTTCTGAGTGCCTGTTCTCACTCATCAATGGGGACGACATGTTCGTGACGTTCGCAGCCATGCAGGCTCAACAGGGCCGAAGCAGCTTGGTGTGGCTCTTCTCCCAGCTCTACCTCTACTCCTTCATCAGCCTCTTCATCTATATGGTGCTGAGTCTCTTCATTGCGCTCATCACGGGCGCCTACGACACGATCAAGGTCAGTCACACCCACCCTTTTCCTCCATAGGTGACCTGCCCCCTGTACCCTTCCTCCTCCAGGGGCTGCCTGGTTTCATGAATTTGTCTGGGAGTCATGTCAGGTTGAACAGAGAAGACCCAGGGAGAATGTGGGAGACTTTCTGAAGTTCAAGGAGAGAAAGGCCTAGAATTGGGGGTGGTGGTAGTGGTGGTGAATAGTGTTGTCAAAGTGGGATCAAGGCCATCCTAAGACATACTGCAGCTGGTCTCAGCCGGATGGGCAGGAAGGGACATCCATGGTCCTGTCTGGGTACAAAGACGTATGTGTCAGCATTGTCAAGGTAGGGTCCTCAGGCAAAGTGGGTCCCTGAGATTGTTTATCCACAGAGAAACTGAGTCAGTATTTGTGAACTGAGCATGAAGCAGGATCAACCCAGGTTTTTCTGGTCCTAGAGAATATAATTGATCTTTTTTAACATTTATTTTATTGGGGGGGGGGGCTTGCATATATGCATGCATGCACACCCTGCATGATGCATGTGTGGAGGTCAGAGTACAACCTGCAGGAGTTAGTTCTTACCTTCCACTATGTGGGTCCCAGGATTGAACTCAGAGCACCAGGCTTGAGCAAGCACCCTTCCCCTGCTGAGCCATCTCACTGCTCCTCCATATGATTTTTTTTTTTTACATTTATTTATTTGGGGGTGGATTGGGTGCATGCCACTGTATGTGTGGTGGTCAGAGGATAAATTATGGGAGTCAGTTTTCATTTTCCACCATGTGAATCCCAAGAATCAAACTCAGGTCATCAGGCCTGGTGGCAAGGGTCTGCTAAGCCATCTCACTGGACTGATGTGATCTTTTTGAAAATATGTATTTTTATTATTTTATGTGTATGAGTGTTTGAGTGGATGTATGTGTACTACATGTGTGCAATGCCTGCAGAGGACAGAAGAGGGTATTGAATCCTCTGGAACTGGAGTTACAGATGTTTGTTAGCTGCCATATAAGGTGCTGGGCACCAAACCTGTGTCTCCACAGGGGCAGCCAGTGAGCCACCTTTCCAGCCCTGGATGTGATCTTTTGTTGAGGATGATGACCTTGAGCTCCTGATTTCCCTGCCTCCATCTCCTGAGTGTTGGGCTTATAAATGCACACAGCCATGTCCAGTATACTAGGAATGGAACCCAGGACTTCATGCATGCTATGCAAGCATTCTTCCAACTGAGCTACAGTGCCAGCCGAGAAGCTTTTCTGGTGCCACCCAAATACCAGTCTAACACAGGGTCCTTCATTCCTTTCACCAGTGAACATCATCTGTGTACCATTCATGCTTCCCACTGGCACTACCTGATTCTCCCTGATGCCCAGTATGTGCCACACTGCCCAGGACTTGTTGCTAAAGGAGCCCTACCTCCCCTCCATGCCACTCCCACACAGTGCTGTTTCCTTCTTTCCTCTGAACCCCATACTGCAGGACCAGTACTAGTTCTTACCACCCCAAAAGTACACAGGGACCAGAGAGATGCTTCAGCTGGTAAGAGCACTGGCTGCTCTTGCAGAGGACCCAGTTTCAGTTCCCAGTACCCACATGACAGCCATCTTGCACAACTCTAGTTTTAGAGGATCCAACATCCTCCATGGGCATTGGATGACACAGGTGCACCTATATACATGCAAGCAAAACACTCATAAAAATTTTTTTTAAACCTCAAAAAGATCATGTGGCATTTGGGAGGCAGAGGCAGGTAGAGGCAGAGCCAGTGCCAGTGCCAGTGCTCTTAATTGCTCAGCCGTCTCTTCAGCTCCACATGCACTAAATTAAAAAAAACAAAACGGCAGCAACAACAACAGCAGCAGCAACAAGGATGACTCTTACTAAGTACCCAGGCTGTGTCAGGCTCTAGTCTAGGCTCCAGGCCTGCAGCAGAGGGTGCCAAACCAATAAACATGAGGTCTGTGGCCACATCCAGGGGTCAGGGAAGGTTTCCCACAGGCAAGCAAACCTTGAGGCACAGGAAATACAAGGACCCAGAAGGGGCGCTTGCATAGTCACATCAGGGGAACACCAGATGGCTGGAGTTGGGGATGAAGGGCAGACCTGAACCTCAAGAGCCTTGCAGGTCAGGACCAACTTTCATGCCGGGTTTGGGGGTGATCATCTTTCCCCAGCACCCAGGAGGTGCCGGTGCAGAGAAGAGCGAGCTTCAGGCCTACATTGATCAGTGCCAGGACAGCCCCACATCTGGCAAGTTCCGACGTGGAAGTGGCTCCGCTTGCAGCCTGCTCTGTTGCTGTGGAAGGTAGCCCTGGGCAGGGGTTGTGGTTAATAGGCTAGGGGGAAGGAGGTCTGTGCCAGGGAGATCTGATGGGACTTCTCCCTACTTCTCTCCTCCAGGGACTCCCCAGAGGATCATTCACTGCTGGTGAACTGACTCCAGGATGACCACCACTGGACTTTAATCCCCCTGGACTGCAGGGGCCCCAGCTTATTTATTTTTTAGAGTTCACTTTTTAAAGATCTGCACCCAGTTGGGTGTGGTGGCACAAGCCTTTAATCCTAGCACTTGGGAGGCAGAGGCAGGTGGATCTCTTGAGTTCCAGGCCAGCGGGGGCTCCTGAGAGACCCTGTCTCGTGTGGGACAAAAAAAAAAAAAAAAAAAAAGTAAATAAAAAATACAAAGAAAAAAATCCTCTCCCTGTGAGGGCCTGGGCCAGTTGGGTAGAACACTGGGATGGGAAGGGAACGGAGGATGGATGTTCAATAAACGAGGATAAATAAACATGTTCTCATTTGTAGTGGGAGGGTCTGAACTTGTGACCTCAGGTCCTTGGCTCCTTTAAGAGTATGCCACACTCACCATGGCCGGTGCCCTGAGACCTTCTTAACATGGTGGGGGCGGGCCCTGGGCGGGCCCTGCAGCAGGATAGTTTAAAGGCGCCGGGCCTGAGGGAGCAGAAAACTAGGGGTGTTGGCCAGCGCTGGGTGGATGCCGGTTGTAGCCGCTGGGTGAGTCCAAGTTTGCATCCCTTTCAGGACCATTAGCGGGCTTCAGCTTTGTGCCCCCACTCCCCAACCGATCTGACTCCTGGCAGGTCTGTCCTGGCAGGTCTGGGCTTTCCAATGCTCCATCCCTGAGTTCCTTGCTTGTTGTTTCCGCATCGGTAGCCAGGAGCCCAAAGTATGGAAAGGGAGTAGTAATTTTCCAAGGTAACGTCTCAGGGCCCAGCGATTCTCCCCAAATTCTCATTAGTATTCTAAGGGCACCAGAAAAGCGTCCCCAGAAAAGTCCCAGCAGTGTTCCATCCTCCCTCAGAATCTTCTAGGGGGCTTAGATGTCCCCCTCCCAGACGGGCCTTTCCAGCTCCTAGACTTTACATCCGTAGTTCTGTATTACCTTTGGATCTCAGTTACTTTACAGTGCGCCCCCTAATTCCAGCGTCCCTAGTTACGCCTCCCATCGATGGCGCTGGCATCATTCCTTGAGACCCTTAACTTTTCCTGCTACGTGTTAGCTCAGTCTCCGACCTTAAACCTCTAATGCTTGGAGAGTTCATCCCACCCACAAGGGCTTCAGGATCCCTTTTCCAAGAGAACCCTGCAGAATTCAGTGCCCCACCTCCCACTCCTTTGATAGGGCAGGCTTAGGTCAAGGGGCCATGGGTCCCATTGTTACTTCAGCCTCGCGGCTTATGAGTCCTAGTTTTCACCGGAGTGGGGCATCATCCAGTCTTCTGAGACCGCTACCTTTTAACCCCCTGGGTGTGAGTGGATGGGTGGGGGAGTCGGGTCAGCCCTGTGGCAAGTGAAGGTTTAGACAAGGAACTGAGGACTCCTCTCACCCCTTGATCTGGCCAGGCAGGGTAATTTGTCCCCATTGCTTTGTCCAGCAGCGCCCCCTCCTGCCACTCACACACTCCAACCCCGGCGAATGGAGAAGTCACTCGGGCCAAAGGTATCTATGGGGCGTGGCTTGCGATAAGTTGGTGGTTGGTGGAACAGATCTGTAGTCCCGCCCAGTATGCTTGATTGTCCTCCGATTAAAGTCTTGCACGGGAAGGGGTGGATAGGCTTGATTGCATGGAGGCGGGGTAGGCTTGATTGAGGTTTTGCTTGGGCCTGGGTAGGCTTGATTGATATCTCGCACAGGTTCCTTCTCTTCCCCAGGACTGTGGGCTATCAGACCTCTTGCCCAGTCTGAAACAACCAATGGAGGCTCCTCTGCAAACCGGAATGGTAAGGGTTGGTGGAAAATTCGTCCATGGGACTACAACTCCCGGCATGGTTGGCTTGCGTCACCCTGTTCTCCTGGAGGACGGTGGTTGTGCAAGCGAAACTACGTTTCCCGGCATGCATCGCAGGCCACCTAGCCGCAGGGGAGAGTCAGTCGCGCCCCCCATGGGGGTGGGGTGGGGTGGGGAAGGAACGGGCGCTGACCCATTCTGCAGATGGGGACACCGAGTCACGAGCTAAATATGACCTCCTCCTTGGAGGAGGGCTTGGCCAGACGAATATGTGGTGCCCAGCCTGTGCCGTTCATCCCGCAGGTGTTGGGCGTCATGATCGGGGCCGGATTGGCCGTGCTGGTCACCGCCGTACTCATCCTCCTGGTGGTGCGGAGACTGCGGGTGCAGAGTGAGGATCTGGAGGGCCTCTCTCGGGGCGTGGGGGGGGGGAGGCTATAGGGATGGAAGGGGACCTGTAGTGTTCCCAGGGTCAGAGCTACAGAGGTGGGGAGTTGCTGGAGTCTGCAGAGCTCAAGCATCCTTCTCCCCACCTATCTCCAGAAACTCCAGCCCCAGAGGGCCCCCGGTATCGGTTCCGGAAGCGGGACAAAGTGCTTTTCTATGGCCGGAAGATTATGCGGAAGGTGAGTTCCAGGACCTCCTGCTGGCCTGCCTGACCACATGGAGGCCCTACCCCTTCCCTATTTACACTTCATAAAGAACATTCTTGCCCCTTGATTAAAAGTCCCTTTTATTGGCCCCATCTTTTTTTTTTTTTTACAAAACTTTATTGAGAATTTCATACATGCATATAAAGTGTTTTGATCAAATCCATGCCCACT